CCTCTGAGGGCCACACACTAGCACCTCAGAGGGCCTACAGCGGCACCTCGGGGGCCCCGCACCAATGCCTCTGAGGGCCTCACACCGGTACCTACCTGTGAGTGCCCACACCAGTGCCTCCAAAGGCTTCATAACCGGCGGCCCTGAGGGCACTACACCGGTAATTTTGGGGGCCTACCGAAGGCACAACACAATCCCTTAGTCTCGTTGAGTTGCTATCCCAATCCCATACCGGCTTCTATCCCAATTCCGGCTCAAATAATTAGCAGCCCCCCTCCCATGGGTCAGGGGCGCCGCGCCGGTGCCGGTGCCGGGGGCCAGCGCCATCGGGGCGGCAGTCGGCACGCGCACTCAATGGTTAACGCTTAGCACCGGCGGCTAGCGCACGCCTGGCGTGTTATCGGCCGTGAGCCGCTCCAAAACGGCTGCAGTATCTGGTCGATATAGGCAGTAAGCAGATGAGGAGAATGAGATGCAGGTGGATTGATGACCGGCAAGCGCTTTTGTGCTTTACGAGGGCGAAGGGTCGAAGTCGGCTGCTAAGCCGTGAGCGGGGTTTATCAGATGCCGGTTCACTATGACCTTTATCCGGGTACCCTGATGCACTCTTGGAGAGCCGAATTACAGCAAAACTCCATCCACGACTGTATCTATACGGCTTACGCTTTTCTGAAAACGTCTGCGTTTGGTCTTCTACGGGCCCGGCCCGGCCGGCCGGCCAAACGGCCCCGATTGGCGATCCACCAGTGACGTCACTGGTAGTGTTAAGCTGATTGGCGAATAATACATGGGGAGAACCGGGACGACATCCCCCTGCTAAATTCATTCATAGATATATCTAACTATTAGGTAATTTATTTAGTACGATGTAGGACATACGACCGTCTTTAACGATGAGACTTTGAAGCATTTCCTTATCTATCCAGTCAATAGGTATTCTCGATTAGCATTGAGGATTTTGTTTGTATGACGCCTATTTTTTGGCGCACATATTTTCAAAGCAATCTGTTGTACAATTATTTTGCAATCTATGTCGCGGGGTATTTTCCTATGTTCGCTCACGTCTCAGTTTTGACTGCATCGTGCTTTTATTTCACGTGCTGTAAAAAGTTACAAAAGGCATCAGATAACATAAGCATGATGCTCGTTCTAATATTCCTTTTCATGGTCTTTACTCTTTGGTAAACGTTTTTCTGCCAAGTAGTGTTGGTGGCCGGGAGGCCCACCGCCTGCCGGGTTATCGGTTGCCTGCTTACGAGTTACGACCATTCTTTAACTTTGACATTATTCCATCGTGTTTTGCACCGTTATTTGTTAATGACAATTGAACGGAGTTGCCTCCTACCTTGGAAATAAATACAGGATTGCGGCTCTCATTTTCATTATGGAACATTTAGCGATAGTTATCTATTATTTATTACCCGAAGCTTATCATGGGTTTGTAAACAAACGTGAAATAGAGGCATGACTGTTTGCGTAGGTAAGATTCGGTATTGGATAGAATGTGACCCAGCTATGCGTCACGCTCACGTGCCCGCCATTATCACAGGTCACACCCGTGTCCCTGCCCCAGGCGCGGACTGACAGTCACAAGGTCCACGGACTGCTTCAGTCTGACACGCACCTCACCGGGACAGCTACCCTGGCGATGCTATACGGGAGGGGCTCGGGAGGGTATTCAATGCAGTACTAGAGCCACACGCGAATCAAGCTTAATTTGGAAGCAATAGTACCTCCCATCGTGTAATGCTTCTAGCTTCATTCCAATGCAATGTCCCTGTTTTAAAAGTTGTTAAAGGTAGTGTGCCACCTTCGAATGATTTCCCATTTTATTTTTCCTAGGATAAGAAGCTTCTGTTTTTACTTAATATCGCAAAAAAAATCAAAAATGGGCCTAAAATAGTGCTTTTTTCGCCTAAAAGTTTATCGGTTTTTCGATATGCATAATAACTGTAGTGGGCTGACCTGCAAACAGGCGTCGGCAACAATCACGAATGCGGCGCACATGTGACAATAAGCAAAGGTCATTATAGAGTTACGACGTACGGGAATGAGTTATCAGCTGTCTAATCGTAGACAACACAATGTCGAATTTAAACTGTAAGCCTGTATTGGTATTGTTTCTTTAATTTGGCTGTCGAACATTAATTTATGGTTTGAAATATTATTTCATGTAAAATAATTGATATGAAACAGCCGTCTCTAAAGTCATGACCCCATCTCACCACATGAAAGTGGCAGAAATGACAATGATCAGCTGACGCATTTTTCTTGGCCGAAGTCAGAGCGCGCGGCCCGACGCACCGCCACCACCACCGCACCACACAAAGTATAAGCAGAAGCCGCGCCCAAAGCCAGGGCCCCGGTAACGTGAGGTAGCCGAGTCGGGGCAGCGTGCGCTGACCCAAGCCGGGGCCGCGGCTTTGGGCGCGGTCTACCGCATCCCCGCGGGCAGCCCCGGGCTATCACATGACACCGGGAGGACGTGCGGCCCCGGCTAGGGTCAGCGCACGCTGCCCCGACTCGGCTACCTCACGTTACCGGGGCCCTGGCTTTGGGCGCGGTCTACCGCACCACCTAACAGGCGTGTTCGAAACCGCAGGAGATGATGATGAACGGGTTTATCGAAACTTGATTGGATGAGCCTATCGGTAATAGCGATTTCAGTGTGTGCATTTATTGTTCATAGTGGTGTGAAATGTGGTTGGGGTACGACCGACAACCCGTCGGGGCGAATTTCGCACTGGGGTACTCAAAATTTGAAGAATTTAAGACGTTTCCATGAGTTTTGAAGGTATGGATAAGTTCTAAAATTCCGGTTCTCCTTATCTGGGCCATTAACTCCATACTGTCCAGGAAAGCTGGCACACTACCTTTAAACATCACGTTAAGCTGCATTTGCTATTTATCTACGTACAATCAGGGGCGTCGTTTTGTATAGGCCTGGTAGGGCCCGAGCCTTACCAATGTTTATTTGGGCCCTACCAATGTTCGCTGAGCCCTACCAATCTTTTGTCACTTATCAGTTGATAAAAAATCAAAATAAACAGATAAGCAAATATTAAATAAGCACATATGCAAGTAAATAAATAAGGTTCTAGCCACAGTAGGTGCATGTAGCTGACAATGAGGTTTCACGTGTCTAGGACTCCGGTCCTTAATGGATTTTAAGAGGCTCGAAAACGCAATTGGTTATAGAGGTCCATAACTGCCTCTGAGTCCCGCATACCACGCGACCGCCCCTAATAGACCCCGATCCGTCTCCACACCAGCCGCTGGAGGCCCTACACCGACTTCGGAAGGTGCCGCGGTGCTCCAGAATAGGCCATAGGTATATTGATTTGAGTGGGTGATGCAGCCTGATTCCCCAGGATTCAACGCCAGGTCATTACCGCATCAGACCCCGAAAACTGAAGCTCGTAACTACGAGGGGCGTTCAAAAAGTTTCGGGCCGAACAATGAAGGAGTTGGAATTTTGGCCTGCAAGGCGGTGTGTTAAATGATGTGTTATTGGGATGTCCACTTACGCAAATTAAGTAAGTGGCCATTAATTCTCTTCTGTGATTGATTCGGGCTTCTATTCGTAGCATAGTTCGCCATTTCGGATAGGATGGGCGACGCCCAGAAGAGAGCAGTGATTCGTTTCATAGTAGTTAGTGCAGAAAAGGCACCAAGCGTTAACCCTCGCCCTGGGCATTTTTCATAACACGGCCTGGCAGGGGGAGGGGTCGATGCGACCCCCCTCCGCTCGTCAACTTTCCAAAACAGGGGCACACAATTGATGATGTGCGTCCATTCGATAAACATCGAGGAGAGGCTATAGGGAAGCTGACGTAAAGTGTGCACCTGATCCGCGACCACGCACCTGCGTACATGGGCGGGATGACGAACAGTGAAGCGATGAGCTTCGAGTTGTTGTCGCATCCACTTTTTTCTCTCCGAACCTTGCACACTCCGGTTAGTGGTTGCCACCTCTTCCCCAACATAAGAAAATTAGCAGCGGCAACCTCGCTAACAGCAGGGAGACGAAATCAGCCGTCTTGGACGTGCAGGATGGGTCCAAAACCCACTTGGTTATGGAGGCCTTGAGGGCTCTCGCGAAGCGCTGCGCGAAATGTGTTTGTCTTAACGGTGTTTATTTGAATAAATGAACTTATGAGTCGATGCTGTATCTCTCTGCTCCTTCATGGTCGGGCCCGTAGCTTTCTGAACGCCCCTCGTACTGTCATCCTTTTATTTTGGCAAGCAGGTCTTTCTAACTATCGTTGTGTTTCCAGTCCTCGTTAGTTGTCGAACCCTTCAATTGGCGTGGGTCTTCAAAACCGTTCCTGGCCCCGCAGCCGTCTTTTTTAGTCGGCTTGGGCCCTCAAAGCTGTTCCTGTCCCCTTTCAGCACAGCCGTCCTTTTAAGTCTATGTGGGCCTCTTTCAGAATGGCGTGCATTCCTCCGACACTATTGCCTATATAACTGCACGTTTTGTGCATGGCGTCCGGTGTGGACCCAGATTTCCAAAGTTTTTTTTTTGTGTTTTTTTAGATTTCGGTTAGTCTTGTCAATGACCAGGGCGAAAAATAAGTGGCCGAAATCCGATGAGAAAGGCAGATTTGGGGGTACCCTACCTTGTAAGCCCCCTCATATATGGCCAGCCGCCGCCTTTGGGCACTACCAATCATTTTCGGAAAACGACACCCCTGCGTACAATCTACTCAGATCCACAAAAAAATCATAACATCTCAATAAAGCTGAATACAATACAGCTCATAAAACTTACTACTGATTGCTACACGAAAAATGACACAAATATCGAGGAACACGAAAGCAGTGTTTATTAAAAAAGTTGACGTTGCATCCAGCTTTCTTCTAACGCATTAATTGAACACAGGTGGATTCTTCGAGCAACCCTATTTACAACACACATCTCTCATCCACCGGTATTGACCGCCAGCGGGCATGCAGGCACCATTATCAAAGGTCTCTCACATCGCACATGAGATGAGTATCTAAGCTAGCAGACCATCCGAGCCGAGGCTGATCTGCTTGAAGACGACTCGGTTGGACCTCTGCTGCAGCGGACGTCGGTTGTTGACGAGGCGCTGCAGCCTGAAGCGGTCCTGGTACACCTGAGTGGTCAGACAGTCTAGGAAGTTCCCGCTGATGTCGGTCTCCACGCTGGAGACCATCCACACCACGCCCGGAGTGCACGGGGGCGTCGTCAGGCTGCCGAAGTAGGTGAACATGCGGGAGAGCACGACGCGCAGCAGCGCCTGCAGCTGTCGCAGGTCGGCGCGGAACGAGAAGTGACTGTCACGGGTCGCCAGCTGATCCATGTTGTTCTGCAAGCCGAACGTCGGGAACGTCGGCCCGCTGAAGTTGCCCTCGCGATTCAGGAGGACAGCAACGACTGCCACCTTGCCGGGCACCTCTTGCGCCGCCTCCAGGTTCGGGAACGACGCGTCGAAGAAGACGAAGTGCGCCTCAGCGTCGAAGAACTTGTCGCCGGCCGCGTGTTCGGAGCCGGGCGACCCGAACTGATCACCCCAGTGGAAGTGCAGCATCGTGAGGTTGTAGGTCCCCCGGAGCGGCGCGTTATCGATCACCAGTTGAATGGGGTAAGTAGGTGAAGCCCCACGCGCGCGTGGGTCCATGGTAACGTTCAGCTCGAGCCGGCGACCATCGTTACCGACCTCGACCACCCAGTCGTGCGCGCCGGGGTCGGCAATCACCTTCAGCGGTGGCGTCAGCACCACGCGGTCCACGGTGAGCGCGATCGGCGACTGCAGGTGCAGCGGGGCAGAGCAGAACGGGAACGTGCGCCCCCAGCTGGCCGGGCTGCTGTAGCTCCACAGGTCCACCGGCGCCTCCTGGCCGACCACGGAGGCCGCCAGCAGCAGGGACAGCACCAGCTGCCGCGCGGGCAGCGGCTGAGACATCACGGACGGCGGTGACTATCAGGGGCTGGAGTGTTGCAGACGGGCTCCGCTAATGTAAAACTGCTGCTTTCTTTTTCTTCGCTTCTTTTTTGTTCAATTTGTATTTTTTGCGTTTTCTTTCTCTTGCTTCCTCGTTGATTACTTCTTTGTGTTTTTTTTCTGTGTCTTCGTTTGAAGCTACGCCTTCTTCCTTTTAATTCTCCTCTTCTGCAGGTATATCCTGTTCACTGTTCAGTGCACAACACAGCGGACAAACAGCCTCTCTGACGGTCACAGGACAATCTGACTCATCGGAGCCCTGTGTCTCGCTTATGTACGGTCCAGCCAGTGTCGCTACTGTGTTTGTTTGACCTAAAACCGGCCTGGTTCGCGCGCCGCTCGCTGTGAGAACTGATCAGGAAAGGCACCTCATGCGAACGCGCTCGCCTAAAAATGGCAACGATAGCGCCATGGCGTTGTTTTCCGCAGTTGCAAACAGGAAGGGAATCATCCAGAGTCCTCAATTAACGACGTGTATTTGCGTGTTGCCTTAACGGGTCATGACGCTAACTGCGCAAGGAAAATGAACAATTAGATACAAGGTCGGAATGGCTGAAAAGCAGCCTATTTTCATTTGACCATCTCAATACAAAGAGGAGCCGATGTTGGCACTTGGCAGGATCATGTCCCCACCAAGATTCTTCGGTCCCCACAACATGACATCGTGTTTACTGTTCATGGCTTCTGCTTTAGTGAACACTATTTGCGAGACAACACGGCATAACCGTGGTCGGCCGGACACAATGCTATCGTTTTACAAGAACGGTCTGTCAGGAAGTTGTATCAGTAATTGGGAAACATTGTGAACTAGAACAATGCCCACAAACTGTTTTTCAGCTACGGAAGACGCTCTTATGAGTGTGCAGTATTTACGTGATTATTCCACCATAAGATATCAGCTAACATTAACCTCTTAAAGCCTTTGGTGTTCAGAGGTTAATGCATCTAAACATGTAGATACGTGGAAAATAAAAATACAGGGTTCTACATAGAGAGTGTATGTTTGCAAATAAATGGAACATTTTAACCCGCGCGCACCGACGGGGGTCTGCGCCAACTTCGCACCGACGGGGGGGGGGCGGATGACCGCCCCCCCCCTGAGATCTCGAGAACGAAGCAAGATAGCGACAAGCGGTAAACGGCATCGGATACGCACGGTCAAGATCTACAATTTTTACTAAGGTCATTTTCAGGTCAGGTCAAAGATGACGTCACAGGGGTCGAAAAAGTCAAAATGGCGGCGGGCCCGGCGCTAGATATGGAGAGAGTTGTTCTCGAATAACTTTGGAATCAGTCAAGATAGGAACAAACTAAGGGCATCATCGTAATCCTCTCGTCAATCCGCATCGAATGATATATATGTTGACCTCGAAAGGTCAAGGTCAAAGGTTGACCTCAGGTCACGTGACCTCGAGGTCATCATGTATATCATTCGATGCGTCTTGACGAGCTGAACACAATGAGACCATCCACGCGTCTGTACCTTGTTCCTGTACGGAGTTATTGGCCAAAAACCTTTGGTGACCTTTGATGACGTCACATGACCTCACAGCTGCCCAACAGCAAAACAGACCTCAAGGTAGTGAAGGTTGATCGTATATGAAGTCATATATGGTATATGGGGCCATTCCGACCCGTTTTAGTGGTAAAAACAGAGAGTTGAGTTTTCCCCCATTGACTTATAATGGGGAGGTCGCGAAATTGACCTGACCTTAGGTCACCGATATCAAAATTCCGAGATATACAAATTGTAGCTACTAATGACCTAATAACATCCTGCGACTTTCAAAGGCCTCCGACATCTACTGTAGCTCTGGCACGGTGACAAAGTTGCAAAAAAGTGACTTGAGGTTGGGTCATTCAAAGTGACCTGATGACCTGACCTTGAAAGGTAGGAGGTTCAACCTTGCACACCATGTGTAAAATTGATGAGGGAATAGTCATACCAAATTTCGCGGCGCTACGCGCCGCGGTTTTCCCGCTATTCGCGAAAAACCTCAGGGGGGGGCGGATATCCGCCCCCCCGTCGGTGCGCGGGTTAAGTTCTCTTCAACTTTATGAGACACTAAAATGCGAAATCAAACAGCCATGGGATAACTTCCGAATGAGACTCTGTTTGATAATTTGAATAATTGTTATAGGCACCTGTCACAGCTGCTCGCTGCACGGAATCGTCCAGTGATGATTGGTGATTAATGATTTGGTGAGACAAGGCCAACCATGGCCTTCGAAGCGCTTTCGCATGAGTGTCCAGCATGATAATCGTCCTCAACAACTTAATAAATATCTCATCAGAATGACTACATTTAACAAATGCTGGCTGTCATTAGGCGGAAATAACGTTACTTCCTTGATAATTGGTAATACGAGTAGGTAGGCACTCATTTTTCATATAAGCTTAGTTGACCGGAGTCTGTTGTGGTTTCGCGTCTTCATCGCACTTGTAACTAAGAATCTCAGAAGTAAAAGCAAGAAAAACCAAGAGATTGTTGGGGTTCCGCGTCTTCATTGCACTTGTAATAAGGAATTTCTGAAGTAAGCGTACCACTATAAAACGCTACCACAGAAAACTGATATGAGTCGGAATTCCTAGAAGTGCATCGAATTTCGGTTATGAATATTTACTGAGAGCGCTATAATCTCAAGAGGGTGAGGTGCTCATACCAACATGCTAACATTTAGCTTGGTGGCTTTGCATGGCTCTGTAGGCGAACACTGCACTAACACACACCAATAGACCACTACATACCGATATATAGTGGTCTATGCTCCACTGTATAGTGTATAGTGAAGAGGAACTACGAACTTCTAGATGCTCATTAGTAATTACTCAACCTAAGTTTGCCCTGCAGCCTGCAGGATGTGCAATATGTAAAGGAAGAAAACAAAACTACGCAGATAACATGGTTTTACCCTTAAAGCTTTAGCGCAAAGCTGTTTTTCAGCAATTTGTAGAACTGTTCGCTCAATGTTTGGAAAGAAAGTTATTGCAGTAGCTGTCTGATAAAATCTTGGGCTGATACGGTAAACGTGTGTAGAGTTTGTCAAAGAAGTAGTTTAATTCACAGTAAGTTAAACTAATGAATATAAAACAGCATAATGAAACATCTAATGTTTAAACTTGAAAATGTTCTTCGTATCCTTTTCTATCAAATGATAATCAACTGCTGCAGCCCAATAAGTTGCCTATATTTTGTAAAAACACGACTGCGTAAAGCATTACAACTAACCAATGCCCGTTTGTTCTCTTTCCGTCACAGATCTGCAGCTGTCATGTCCGTTCGCCGGCTGCTGATGGTGCTGCTGCTCTCCTTCCAACTACACGGCTCCACCGGCTCCCCGCCTGCCGCCGAGGGCGCCTCCTGGCCGTGTCGGTCCCGACAGGTCACCGACGACTTCGGCCGGCCGCTGGTCACCATCCAGTGTCACACACTTGCCGATGAGGAGGCGCGTCAGGACGTCTGCTCGACAGCCAGAGGCGGCGGCGGCTCCCTGGAGCTGGCTGTCCTCCTGCCGGCCAGTGACGCCTACGAGGGCAGCCTGCAGCGCGTGCTGCCGGCAGTGGTGATGGCGCTCCGTCAGCTGCGGCAGCGACGACTGCTGCTCGACAGGACGTTCACGCTGCACGTGCGTGACACCCGCTGCTCGAGCATCTACGCACCGGCGCACGCGGTGCAGTCCTACTTCACCGACCGGGTCGAGCTACTGCTCGGCCCCTACTGCGACTTCGGATTAGGTGAGATGATCAATGAGATGCAGGCCCCATGGAAGGCGGGTCTGAGTGCGGAATATGGATGCCGAACGCTGGTGTCGGGTACGGGCAGCGGAAGGGTATGGGGTAGCAGCGATTGGGACTCTTTGTAATGCCAAAGCGCATAAGCTCTGCAGCGTATTGATTTTGGCCGTCCGGTTCATGGGACTCACCTGAACTTTACACCGGCTCAGTGGAGTTTATTGCCGTCAGCGTCGTGGAAACGCTCGTATCTGTTACACTAACCCAAAGATCCACAGAGCAATCTTCTGTGTCGAACGACCCAATGCGAACTAATCGAGCGTCTGCGTCTTTCGTAGAACGGTCTTAGCATACTGGAATAGGCCCGCGCTGAATGTCGTCTTTATCTATCGCTTTAAATATGGGGCCACCCATGCATTGTGAAGTATCTAAATGAAACGGGTCGGACTAAAGCAGAACGTCTATTGTTTTTCAGCGCCCGTCGCTCGCTTGGTGAAATTCTGGAACGTGCCTCTCATAACGGCCGGAGGATTCTCATACGACTTCACAAAGCCCAAGACGAATCCAGAAAATGAGTTCTATATGACGACGAGGACTGGCTTCAGCTTCGCTGGCATTGCGACAACCATCTCCGAAGTTCTCAACAAGTGAGTACTTCGATAACATTTATAGGTTGGACTGCGTTTAGATTAAGGTCGCTTTCAACCTTTTCCTCGGTCTTTCTGCACTTACATAATCAATACCTATAACACCTTTCCTGTCGCATACCAATGTTCTGAAAAGTACATTGATTTTTTACATTAATGCTTCGATATATTTTCTCTTAGGTCAAACATAAACGTACGCTGATAGAACGGAATATTCCGCCGAAAGCTGCGTCTCCATTTGACGATTTTATTGACGGGCTTGTCCCCTGATGCGCTTGTCAATGACCCTGTTTTCTGTCTGCTTCAGCATTATTTTACCTCTGGCGATTCACAAAAGTTTGATTCATTTCCATTGTCACGCGTGAGTACAGCAAAGTAATGGTATTTCTTTATAGGTGAGCTGATTATATAACGAGTTGTGAACGCGTTGACCTCACAATAATTGAGCTTTGTTGGCCGGTGCACTTATGCAGTATCAAAGTGATTAACCCGGTAGGCGGTGGGCCTACCAGCCACCTTCCGCGCGGTGGGGGGGGGGGGCATTTTTTGCCCCCCCCCCGTATCTCCGAAACTACTGGACG